ATGTATAAGCACACAATATGTTGCAATGTAAGCATTTACCTATGAGCCTATGGGTTAGGTGGAATAATGTGGAAATCATGTAAGAGTCCTGGCTTTACCACTTACTAGATAATGATTAATCATTGAGAAGTTATTGAAACTTATTTTTTAGATCTGTAAAATGCTAGAAAAACACTTAGTTTTCAGTATTGAGATTACCTCTGAGAAAGGTAAATTCCAAAGTGCTGTTGAACACAAAATGGTATTATTACTTGATCTCTGTTTTTGAGCAGAAGCTGCTGAGTCTTAGTTGTCTTTGCATTTCTTATGGCTTGTAACACTTTACTGCAACAGCAATTGTTGAATGAACAGTTTAATAATTCAGCATAGCTGAGAAAAAAAGCAAGTCGAGAAAGCCTCTGCATGATCGACAGAGATGGTGTAAAATCCTACATGTAACACATGTGTTTTTTAATCAGGTTCCCCTGAAGATCTCTAGTTCTGTTTACATGGAGTCCGGGCTGGAGTTTCCAACTAGAGCAGCAAGGATGGGCTGGGTTGCTCTGGGAAGGCACACTGACAGTCTGAGAAACAGCAGCTTGACAGCCTGACATAGATGGAGAGAGGAGAACTCAGAAAAGCAGACATAAAAACTTTAAAAGCCTTTCAGTATGGGCCTTTTTACTGTAATGAGAGATCCCATGAGGCTTACTGAGAGATGAATTAGACAAAGCAGTTGAGAGCTTCTTTGGAAAACAATTTCACTTTGGCAGGGGTAGACCAGATGACCTAAAATGATAGATTCTGCTAATTTTCATGATTGCCTCAGGGAAGACTGAGGCAAACTTGTCTCTGTTTTTGCAATATGTTTCTCAAACATAACTTCTTGGTCTAGTGCACAGGTAATTACTCAAACTACAAAGTTCATGTTACTAATTATCTCAACTATGGCTTTATTTTCTCTACTGCTACTGAAACCTAATTCTTTTGGGTTTTCCAGTTTCCAACCAGTAAGTGCCAAAACCTTTTTCCAGAGAATGAAATGCTTGGTCGTGTCACTTTATGTAGCATTTTGTATCATTAGAATGATTTACAATCAGTTTGGAGTATTGCTAATTATTGTTAATGTTTAGTAATGACCAAGACTCAAAAGTAAATTTATTTTTATTTACTAACAATTTGTTTTCACCACCTTCATTGTATTGTAGTGTGAATGTCATTCTAGATGGTATGCTTGTGTAATTTGTAGATGAGGTGAAAGTGAAAGGCGTAACAAGTATTTTGTAAGGCCAGAGGTGGGATGTCAAAAAGTTTTGGCAGATTGCAGTAGTGGACCCAGAATCTAAGAAAATGAACTATTAATGAAGTAGAAATAAAGTCTTCTCTTGGTTCTAATAAAAAGACTACAAAGAGAGAAATTAGATACTACTCATCAAAGACATTCACTTAGGACAGCCTGAGGAGGAATGACTTCCCACCTCACTGCTCCTCTGTTCTGTTCGAACTTGAAAAGTAGGAGGTTGTCACAGTGTGAGAGGTAACCTCAGGGACCCACTATTTTCTTTTTAAAAATTTCTATTAGCACGTTTGCAATGAATATATTCATTGTAGGGAGTTGGTACATATACATATCGCATCTTAGCCCTTTTTACTTCCTCTTATTCTCCCTTCCCTCCCCGCCTCCAGCCCTAGATCCCCTTCCCATCTTCACAAAGTCTACTTCCCTGTTTTCTATCATCTGTCTTTTTTTTTTTTTTGGTATGGGGGTCGAACTCAGGACCTTGCGCTTGCAAAGCAGGCGGTGGAACCGCTGAGCTAAATCCTCGGTCCTATCAGCTGTCTTTTATTTTGCTCTTTAAATTATTTATATTTTGGGCTTCTCACATAAGAGAAACCATGTGCTATAAATGTCACACCTTTTGTGTCTAACTCGTTTCACTTAGCATTATGGTCTCAAGGTGTATCCACTTTACATGCTAGGAAGTGCTCTACCACTAATTAACACCCTCAGATCTTTGTTTCCTTTCTTTTCAATTTTATTTTTAGGTATAGTCTTGTGAAGTTGCTCTGGCTGTCCTTGAGCTTGCAGTCCTCTTGTCTGGGGCAAAAACTTGCATAAAGCTACCCCGTGGGTCATCCAGCTGCCTCTGAGGTGCTCTCCTCTGATCCAATTATTGGCCACCTCTGCTAAAACAGCAGCTTATCTCTGTTTTTGAGTAGTGGGCTCTGGGAAATTTACATTAGAATTTGAATGTAGGTGTGGCTCTGAGGGCCATTCATTGAAACTAATAAATGACAGGTTCTGGAAGAGATTCGATTCCATATGAAATTCCCTAAGCGCAGAAAGGGCCATAGGAAGGTAGATGATTGGATTTGGTGATCTTCCAGGCTCCTTCCACCTCCCTAGAGTATGCTTTTATTTGTATTACCATGCTTTTGTTTTCCTACAGGTGTATGAAAACCATCTTTTTATATTTTTATTAAAATGAGCCATGAAGATAATTCTGACATGGTATAATTAGGATATGTCTAAGGTGTCAGAAATAAGAGTGACTTTCATTAGCTTTTTAAATAAAATATATTTCATATGTGAAATATTTATAGATTAGATTTTATTATAGTCAATAAAAATGCTATTCAAAGAAAGCAAATAATTTACATAATGCAAATGTAATGGAGCAGCAGACTGTAACAGGAATAATTCTTTAAGATATTTGAAGATGAGTGCAGCAATGTTCGGAAGACTACTTCCAAGTCAATTGTAAATGATATTCTAGGGATTTCAGCTGATTTTTAAACTTAAATATCAAGTGGACCAAGTCAGTGATGACTTGTCTGATAGCTGTCTGTGCTAAATTCTCCAAAATAGTGTAATTAAATTTTAGCATTTTAACCTCTACTAATTGGGAAGAGTGTGTGTAGGGGAAAATGAAAATCATTCCATAAAGTGTTGACCCTCTGTCAAACATCAGAAATTAGTTATTTACCCAGACAAAATCCAAAAGCACAATGAGACTATGTATTTTTCCACTTACACTTTTCAAGGTTAAAATGTGTTGACACAAAAGACAACAAATAGAGGACAGGGTGGAGTGGCTTTGCTTTCAACCTGCTGGGTAGCTGTGTTCCCATGATGCAGTGCATGATCAGGGGAGACTAGCTTTGTTAAAACCTAGGACCATCATTTTGGAGACAAAATTAATCTCTCTTGGTTTCAATTTCTTCATTTATAAAGTGGGGATCATAACAGTACTGGGGTTAGAGAGTGCTTTATGTTTTTTGGTACCAGGCCTTCATATTTAGCTATAATCCAGCATTTATGTATGTATTCATTCATTCATTCATTCATTCATTTTGAGAACAGATCTTGCTGAATTGCCCAGGATGGGCTTGAACTTGGATCCTCTTGCTTTAGCCTCCCAGAGTGCTGGGATTATAGGGATGCACCACCATACCTTCTCAGAGAGTTCTTTGGAGGATTAAAGCGCTTCTTAGAACACTGTCCAACTCATAAAGAGTGATCAGTAATTTAGCTTCCCACAGTGTCATTTCATTACTTTTATAGTTGTTTAAGGGGTGGGGACCCTGAGATTGTGCTCTTCTCTGCCCAGAGAGCCAAGAGGACCATCAGCCAAGACCATCGCCACTAACAGTGATGTGGCTCTGTGTTCTGATTCTGTCCATCCTGGCTGAAACGGATTAGACCGACCCCAGTTCCTGACCTGGTTTTATTCTCCCCGGACTGGACTCTTTCCTGCTTTTGCTACTTTGCTTGAACCTTGCCTACCTGACTGTACCTCTTCACCCTCAATTCCCTCCTCCTAAAACCTTGGAAACTATTTTATAAGGTTTTAAAATTTTGAACACTACTAATTTAACTTGTATCAATTTTATTATTATTAAATTTTGAGACAAGGTCTCACTGAGGCTGGCTCAAACTTGGAATCTTCCTGCCTCAGCCTCCCAAGTGCTGGGATTAAATTGTATTTATCTTACAACAAATGAGTTATCAAGTGCTAGAAGTATAAAGAAGACAGAAGGTTGGAGGAGTCATCAAAGAACATCTTCCCTGACTTTTGAAAAATTGCTGATGCTTGAGTGCCATCTTACCTGAGATTCTGTTATACTTGGCCATGGACTTATTTGGCTTGGATGAGATCCAGCCATCAATACTTTAAAAAACTCAGCCCATGCTGCTAGTGTGCAAGCAGAGTTGAGGGGCACTTCTCCAGCTCAAGGTCATACTGTTAGTGGTGGAGGCAGTTGTAGAACACCTGGCTTCTGGACTTACTGCAGACTGACCTTAAGTTCTGGTTTAACAGAGCTTTTCTGCACGGTTCTTTCTGTGATTGTATCCTTTCTCTTAAAAGTAAGGTATTAAATAAACACTCTTCTGTTTGTTGGCTTCTGTTTAATTAAGGTTTCATTCTGGCAGTTCTACCTTAACCTTATGCTTTTTTCCTACACTGGTTTGTTCAGCAAGGCCTTTATTCCCAGATGCCTTCTTGCCGCCTTCAAAGCCACCTCTAAAATGTAATTGCATTGCTGAGTTCCTCTCTGACATCGTCAACCCTGATCAAATACTAAGTTCTTCATTGTTTGTTCTTTCAGCCTGTATTAGATTCTTCCCAGACACAGGCTGTGTGTTGATGTGATTGTAAAACATGGTGTATTCCCATGAAGTATTAGAGTAGAGTAAGATCAAGTGCCTTTTTTTTCTTTTTGATCTGTGTACACGGTTGTTTCCTGTTATTTAGGGATAATATAATCCTCTCTCCCATGCTGAAATGCAATTGGAATTATGTTACCTGTTTTCGTTAACTGTTGCCTGCAAATTGCTTAAAGTTTCTTAGGCCTATTGATGTCCTTAAGTACAATAACATTTGGTTAAAATTAATCACGGAATTTCATTTAAGTTCCTCTTGTCAATTTTAGTAAGATAGGAAAAGGGAACATCAGGTTAATTGAATTAAGTATACCACAACAATTTTCCCTGTAATAAATTTTTTTTTCCTTTTCAGGAATCTTTGTATAGTTTACCCTTGTCTACTGAAGACTTTGACCAAAGCTGCTGTGAGTCCAAGGACTGCCTCAGAAACCAGGGAAGCATTTGGGAGACCCTCAGCCCAGTGGACCCTCTGAAGGTGACATTGAATTTGTTCTCTCCTTGTCTTTAGAAAAAGTCTAATTTAGCTTCCAAAATCCATTCTCCAAAGAGTGAATAGAGAGGGCTGGGGATTTAGCTTAATGATTCCATTGCCTGCCTCGCAAGTGGAAGGACTCGAGTTCAATCCCCGGTACAAAAAAAAAAAAATGAATAGAGAACAGGTTACTGAAAATTCTGTATAAACAGTTGAGAGTTTTTCTTTTTGGGGAAAATTTTTTTAGCAGCTATGAAGGAAATCAACTGAATATTTTGACCAAACAGGAATTTATTTGAAATGGAGCTTTGATCTATGAAGACTTATTCAAACACACACACACACACACACACACACACACACACACATACATACACACACCCTTAAAAGATCAATGAATTTTGAAGAAAATTCTATATATTTAGGGTCTCTGTCAACCTCAGTATCTACCTTAACCTGCCTTCTAGGATTGCTTTATGAGTCAAATAATATAACTCAAAACACTGTATAAACCATGAAGTATTATTTGCATAAGTAAAAAAACACAAAGCCAATTACTATGATATTATTCCCAAATATACTTTCTACCCCCTAGTTTATTTTTCCCCATTCAGTCATTTTCAGTTCGGTTCAATAAGTTTTGCTAGGCTCTCCAGAAGCAAAGGTAGTAAGTCCTTGCCTTCAAGGAATATTTGCAAATGCAAGAGACAGACCTATAAGCAGATATAACCAACTGCAGTATGATAGAAGTTTACTGAGGGTACGTGAAAGGGTGGCAGTGGTGTCTAAGGCAGCCTGGGCCTGGAGGACTGTGTGTCTTACAGCAGGCTTCCTGGAGGAAGTGGACCCTCAAATGGCTGTTGAAAGATGATTAGAAATCAGCCAGGTGAGGAGCAGGATGAGGTGGAGGGGGCCACCGCAGGCAGGAGCAGTGGGACAGGATATGAAACCCACACGTGAAAGTAGTAAGTCGTTCCAGGTTGTTGAACCCTATACTCGTGTGTGTGTGTGTGTGTGTGTGTGTGTGTGTGTGTGTGTGTATGGTGGGGAGGAAATTCTGAGGGATGTTAATCTGGAAGTCACTGGCGTTTTAGTTGTGTTACACTGGAGTGAGCAGCAAATGAAGGCAACAAGATTGAAAGAAGGGAAGAATTGTTCCGTAATGATCTGGGGAACAGATAGAATGGCTAGGATTTGGGTAGAAACAGTGTGGAAAAGAGTGAGGGCAATTTGAAGGAGCTAGAATATGCTGGATTAGGGGGTTGATGGAAAGTGGGAAGATGTTAGGACTTGGGATACTTTGGCTTCTGATTGGGATGACTGATGATGTCATTAGATTTAGGAGAGAAGCAGATTTATTTGTGGGGAGGGAAGGACTTTAAGGTATATATGGGACACTAGGTACTAGAAATGTCCACCAGGCAGCTGGAAGTATAAGGTGGAGGCAAGGGGAGGAACCAGGGCTAGAAATACTGACTTGGGAGTTACAGACTGTGTAGATCATCTTGCCACTGCTAAATACTTGAGAAAGTTGACTTAGAAGGAGAAAAGACTTGTTTTGGCTCAAGATTTCAGTCCCTGGATGCTTGGCTCTGTTACTTTTGGGCCTATGGAGGGAGAGAAGCGACATAGTGGAGAACAAAGCCACTTACCTCCTGGCGGGTGGGAAGCAAAGAGAGAGGAAGGGCTGTGCTCCACTAGGCCCTTGTCCTAGGGCTCCACCACCTCCATTCCTGCAGCCTGGCCCCCAAACTTTAGCATGTGAGACTTTGGGGTACATTTGAGATCCCAGCCATAACACAGGCAATAACTAGAAATCTTTTTTAAAATATAAATTTGATTTTGTACTCAACACCTTCAATATTATTTGTTTGTATACTTAAAGACACACCCTGCCCCATTTATCAATTTCCACTATAACCCTATTTGTTGTTTCATTTATGTCTTAGTTATTGGTCTTATATTCTTGGCACAGTAAATTAGGATGTATCCTAGGGACAAATGTGGTGGCTTTTTCAAGTTTGATAAAATATAATTTATTTTATTTTATTTTATTATTTTATTTTTTTGGTACTGAGGATCGAACTCAGGACCTTGGGCTTGCGAGGCAGGCATGGTTATAAAATATAATTTAAAATAGTATTTAATAAACAGTTTAAACTGTAAAATTTTGGAGAGTCAAAAACCAGTGCTGTTTTCCATGTTATTTACCACAGTTATAGAAATTAGTTAAGAAAGGTGCTTTGCTTTCCACAATGCAGTTCTTTCTCTGCATTAATCGTGTTTCTTGTCCATTGCTCACTTTCCTCGCCCTACAGAGCGGTTAAGCATTGCTTATGGCAGACTGAGCAGGGTCTTGCATTCTTCAGCAGGGCCATGCCGGCCCTTCCCCCTGCTGGGTGTTCCCCACCTCCACCCAGAGCATGGTGAGGGGGTCCATGTAACAGAGGCTGCACTGTTGAGAGCCAGTCCATCCAAGTTGGGCTTTGGAAATTCAGTACTCAGAGCCTTCTTTGAGGGAATGCCATGGGTAAAAATTTTAAATTCAAATAATACTCACAGTAGTGCTATTTTGAGTGAATTTTATTTGATTACTGTGGTCTTAATTAATTTAATGACTTTTTTCTTTAAGACTTCTTGAAAAATTACAAAATCTTCCCATTTTACTTTTTATAGTCTACTTCATTACTATCTTTCCATGAACATTAAAGATTAAACTATCACTTTCATTTTTCATAGAAAAGAAAATTAATTTGAAGCAAAATTAACTTACTAACAGCTGGAACCAGATCCCTGATCTGTTGAAACTCTGGCCTTTCCACCGTATCATTGTTTTTTTCCTCATTTTAAATCTTTATTGAACTGTGGAGTTATCTATGTGTCTTAAAATAGAGAATTAAGTAAACCAGTTTACCCTGAAGGCATTTGCTTTAGTTAATTACTCTAAATTCAGCAAACAGATTTAATTTTTATACTTGAGCATTTGATTAATGCTTTTTAAAAAAATAGTTTTTAACATGGATTTTGGGTTTGGTATCATTTATTTCTGTATAATGATTCCACCATTATACTGAAGGATTGAAAGAGAATCAAACCATCTGTAAAAATTCCAGTTTTTTAAAAAAGTCACCAGTGATTTCAAAACCAGCACTTTTAAGCAGATGATATTTCTGACTTGGTCAATTACATGGCAATCTGCTGTGGATTTTATGTATAGAAAATGAATTTATGGAAGTGCTGAGCTGGTGTAACTTAGAATGACGGCATATGCATTCAAGTTGTAGGTGGTTTCAAAGACAATGAATCCTTCTCTAAGATTCACAGAATGGTCAGTCTTTGCTGTGAAACCAGTGGGCTGTAAGTCATCATGTGCAAAACATGACTCACTCATCCTGAAAGCTACTAGGAACAAAAGGAGTTTCCACTCTTTTATGTGCAAGAGGCCAAGGAATATCCCCCCACCTTTTTGCCTCTCTGTCTCTGTTTCCTTCTGTCTTACTCGTATTCTCGGGGTAATAGAGACATATTAATGTAATGTCTCCAAAACCCAAGACCTTTGATGGTTTTGTTTCTGGAACTGGCAATGGAAACAGCATGTTATAGAAAAGGCAGGAGAGCTGCTTGGAGACACACTGCTTGGCATGTGCCACAGGTTTGGCGACTGGCTTGCTTGGCTACTCTGAGCAGACCAACAGTGTGAACAAGGTGAACAGGTAAGGAAACTTGCACACTGTGAACGTAAGATGGTATGATGGGGATGTGAAAGGGGAATTCAGCTTTCACCACTGTTGCCTGGCCTGGTGGTGGTGTCTACCACAATGGTATCCACAGTGGGTGCAGTGAAGTACAGGATACAACAGTATTAGGTGGCAGCTTTCTACTTCAAGTAGCATTATGCAAACAAGGCAATATGTTAAGTTTTTGTTAGCTTTGGAGTTGCCATTTAGAAGCATTTAATTTGAAATATAATTCAGGACTGCCCTTCTTCTATTCTGTGGTCAGAGCACAGAATTCTGCAAGAAGAGGGCTGGGTGGGAAAACTTCTACTGGAATATAGAAACCATGAGTAAGTTTCCAGGGGCAGTTGGGCAGTATTCCTGCAGACTCAAATCATATTTAGCTGTAAAATGTGTTACCTTATGGTCTTCTATAGTGTGGGATTTTGTTTATTTATTTTTTGGTACTGGGGATCAAACTTGGGTCCTCGCGCTTGCAAGGCAAGCAGCAGAACCACTGAGCTAAATCCCCGGCCCCTAGTGTGGGATTTTAAAAAGAAAGCGGTGAGGAAATGCTGAGCCACCAACTTTTGGTACAAATTCAGGTCCACCGTAGAGGTCATAGACTTTGCATCAGCAATTTGTGGGCCACTTTGGTGGAGGACAATGACAGCGGATGTTTAATCAGATAATGCTCTGCTGAAGTTGAATTTTCATTCTCCGCTGCCTTTTGTTGTTTGGGTACTTTGGAAATTATTCTTGATTCAGGTTTATTATTAACTTTTGGACCCTAGCTATTTTCATTAATATCTTGCTGTTCATGTTAAAATGAGAATGGTAAGTAGAGGATTTATTTTTGCATTAGTTGATAGCATAGCAAGCCAGTATAATATGAATTAATGACTCTTCACATTTTTCAATAATATAAGCTGGGTTCATTATCCCCTGGGGATTTATTTCAAATTCATGCCTTAATAAACCATTCTTGCTAGTTGTTGACTTTTTGGGTTTTTTAAAAGCTTCTACGTAATGGGGAAATAGATAACAATAAGTAATAAATATTTTTACCTTAAATCTTAAAAACATTTTTGATTGTTCTCATTAAAAAATGGAAAAATACAATAGAATTTTTTCACAATCAATAGTATAAGTATTAGTGGTATTTGTTTTAGACAAGAACTATCCTGAAGCAATTATGTCTTTTAATATGGTTTGGAAAATGATATCTATAAGGAAATATTGAGGATTAAAAGGTGATTTTCTCCTTGGCATGTCTTGTCAAGTAGTAGCAAGCAGAGACAGCATGATGTAGACAAAAGAGCACTGGACTGGAAGCTGGTGCCTAGCTCTGGTTCTGTTGCAGCGGCCACAGGTGACTGTTCATCTCTTATACGACCATGTCTGTCCAAGTCTCCTGCGCATGTTTAGTGCCCACCTCCTCATGTAGATGCTGTCACAGTACAGTGACCTCCTTTCAAGGGAACTGAGCTGACAGCAGGTTCACACCTACTGGTGCAGCCTGGGGCCCCATCACACCCGGACCTAAAACAGCTCTGCTTTCCTGTCATCCCACTTTTATCATGGATATACAGACAGACAAGTTTTGTTTAAGATTTCACTTGATTAAATGAGTTCACTGCTCAAAAAATAAGTTTTAAAGGTAATTCTTATAGATCCCTGTGCTTTCAGTATTTTCCCAGTCCATTCTGTGAAATACCCAATTTCATTCTTTCCGTTACTGCCAAGCTAAAATTCTTCAAGTGGCTGAGTATCTCATGCAGAATGAAGAACGCTGTCTTTACCCAGGTCTTCCATGACTTCTTCCTCATCATCAAGCTGACCTGTCACATAGTGGAGCAGACCTAAGAGTTCTGGCACATAAAATTACCTTGCTCTGAGTACTAAGTACAGTGCTCAACATTGGGCACGATCACAAGTGACTCAGTGATTTGAGTTTCAAGTTTCCTCTCTGGGATTTTGCTTGGCATTGCCTGTTCCTTCTTGAGCACACCTCAAAGCACAAGGTTTTCCACAAAGCCTTCCATGGTTTTCTGGTCTGGATTGTTTCCCCCATCTCTAGCATTCCCTCACGTGGCTGGGCATCTGTTGTGGTCTACCTGCTGCTTTCCCTGTTAATTGCTTTTTTGGGGGCATCGGAGAGCAAGTACTACAGCAGCACACTGACCTCCGACCCCCTCTGGAAATACAGGTGGTTGAGTCACCCCAAAATGGACGTTTTCACTGTAATATGTGCATTAGCACAGGAAGGTAAATGTTCTTTGCAACTAAATTTTGGCAAATGGATGGAAATAAAAGTGATTTGTCCCTCATATTCCTTAAATAGCAACACACTGGAGGGCGGAGCACTTGCCTCAGACCAGGTAATACAGGTTTTAGGACTGGTTCTGCCTCCCACTTAGGGTCCTCCCTCGACTCGTTTATCCTGTGTTTTTAATGATGATGATGACACTGGAGTTCTTGGTTCTTTGGGCCTCACAATGGCATGTTGCTTAATTTCAGCCTTGCATTCACTGAGGGCAAGCTGATATGGGTCAAATAAGAAAACTGGGCTTTGGGGTTATGCCCCAAATCCTAATGTGGTAAACCAGTAGCACAAACTCAAATCACCTGGCCCTTATGTTAGTGTGCAGCACCCAGCTTCCTCCCACCCACTCACCACCCGCAAGCTGGGCATCACCTGGGAATCTCAGGTCCCACCCTAGGTCCCCTGAATCAGAATATGCATATTAACAAGAGGGCCTGGGATTCCTATGTACTTTCTTTCTTTTCTTTTCCACTTAGTTTATTGGTACATTTTAGGTATATAATACAGTTACATTCATCATTGGGATCTTGTACCTTTACATGATGTATCTTGGTTCTTATTTTTTCCCCATTCCCCTGCCCTCCCTTCACCCCCCTCCACCCTTCCCTATTTATAAAGACTTTGTTTCCATGTTTTTCCTTTTCTCATATTTTTTCTTTTCCCTTCTTTCCTTTCCCCTCCCCTCCCACTTCCCTATTCCTTTAAACGTTTTCTTCCTATTTCACAATATCAATTATAAATTTTGATTCTTATTTACACTTTTAGTTTTTCACACCAGAGAAACTTCGGTATTTACACATGTGTGTCCTATTTATTTCACTTAAGAGGATGGCCTCAATGTGCATCCACTTAGCTATAAATGTCTCTAGTTTCTCATTCTTTTGGCTGAGTAGTACTCCATTTTATTTTTAAAAAACTCACATCTTCTTTATCCAGTCTCCAGTTGATGGGCAATTGGGCTATTTCCAAGTTTTAGCTATTACAAACTGTGCCACTATAAACATGGGTGCGTATGTATCACTGTGGTATGATTCTTTTAATTCTTTTGGGAAGATCCCCAGCAGGGGAATAGCTGGGTCAAATGGGACTTCCAATCCTAGCTGTTTGAGGTATCTCCATATTGATTTCCACAGTGGTTGCACCAGTCTGCATTCCCACCAACAATGAAGAAGGGTTCCTTTCTCCCCACACCCCTGCCAGCATTTGTTATTGGTTGATTTCTTGATAGCAGCCATTCTTTCTGGGGTGAGGTAGAATCTCAGCGTTGTTTTCATCTGCATCTCTCAAATGACGTTTTTTCATATGTTTATTTGCTGCTTTTACTTCTTTGTCTGAGAAATGTTTGTTCATTTCAGATGCCCATTTTTTTTTTTTTTTTGGCCCCAGGGATCAAACTCGGAACCTTGTGCTTTTGAGGCAGGCGCCAGAACCACTGAGCTAAATCTCCAGCCTCCAGATTCCCATTTTTGAATTGAGTCTTTATATTCGGGGGTATGTTTTTTTGAGTTCTTTATATATTCTAGGTAGTAGACCTTTGTCTGAGGAACAGCTGGTAAAAATTTTTTCCCATATTGTAGGTTGTCTCTTAGCTCTGTTGGTGATTTCTCTTGCAGTGCAGAAGCTTTTTAATAAGGTGAGATCCCAGGTGTTGATTCTTTGTGCTAGTTCCCGTGCTACTTCATATGTACTTCCAAGTTGGAGTGAGATGTTTTATATTTTTACTCCTATCATGCCTTCACATCTCTCCTGTCAAATCTCTTTTCCTTTGAAGAGGTCTCTAGTAGATCTGATAGATTTTTAGCTACTTTCAGGTTTTTAAAAGTTAAAAAACAGTGTAGTTGGTTTTCAAAACATCAAACTTATATGGAAATAAAAGCTTTCCTTTCTCTCAGCCCAACTTATGCTCTTCAACAATTTTTTTTCTTTCTTTTCTGTTCATTGACTTGTTCTTAAACCAAATGCACCACTTCCAGCTCCCTATTCCTGGTAGTATATTATTATGACACCCATTTTCTAGAAGGAGTTCATTTGTCTCAGACTTCAGGGAAACTCAGAAGTAAAAACCAGGGACATATACCCCACATAAAATAATGAAGGAACTTAGGTTCTTTCTCATTCATTATATTTCACCAGATTATTCAACCAAGGATGTTGTATGATCATCTTTGGCATAAACCAAAGTATGAGACCGAACTTTACTAAAAAATATTTTTAAAGCTCTTGTTTTTGATTTTTACTTACATTTTGTAATCATCTTTGGCTAAGAAACCATGAGTTAGATCTATACTTTGGTAGCCAAATGACTGTCCTTGGAGTTCCATTCAAGTGTGTGGGACTATGTTTCAGTGTTCTGAGGTTTGTGTATCCCTGAGTCTGTGAAATACATCACATCAAACTTCTGGCTCTTTGTCTTCATCCTGAAATGAAATTTTCATTTTAGCTCTCCTGCTGCCTCCTCCATGTCTTGTTTGTTTTCACTTTTAATGTGACAAAAAAGGGCAGCTTTTCTCTTTATTTTGGTTAGCCATCTTCATAAATATTCATTAGCGGTTTCTTTTTTCCACTGCTATTTTGTAATTTGCTGTTTTAAAATGAGATCTGAAGTGAAAAATAACTCCTAGTTCTCACTTTAATATATTTGTATTATTAATCTTTATTTTGTATCCTGAGCCAGACAAGGTTGTTTTCTTAGGCTTCATCATTCTGAGAAGGCACAGGCTGTGTGTGTGTGTGTGTGTGTATTGTACAGGTGACAGGTGACTTGACTAGGTAGGATAGGAGTGGAAGGAACATTTCCAAAGCATCTGCAGGGACAGGTGCTAGGCCCTACATCCATGTCTCACCTTATTTCACAACATCTTGGAAGCAAGTTTGATCATGAACATTTTCCAAACTGGAAGCCAAGGCTTGGGGAAAGTTAGTGATTCACTCTAATTCACAAGCTAGTAAATGGAGGAGGGGAAGCAGGTGATGAGATGCCATTGGAAAGCGGGTGTTCCACCATGCTCTTCTGCTAGTTATATAGAAGTTGATAGTGGGTAACTTGGAGATAATTTTCTTTACAGAGTTGATGTATTAAGTTGTTAAGAAAAATGTCACTAAACCTTCAGCTTGCCATTTCCACTTAGTTTAAGCCTGAGGCTCAGGACTGGTCATGTGCTGACTGCCATGCCAGGCGACTGAATGACTCTGTCCCTACAGATTACTCTTTTAGTTGGTGGTGTTTTTTTTTGGTACCGCGGATCGAACTTGGGTCCTTGCGCTTGCAAGGCAGGCAGCGGAACCACTGAGCTAAATCCCCGGCCACAGTTGGTGTTTACATCACTGGATAGTACTACCAACTCCACCATAATCTGCTTCTAAAGACTCCCCCTTACAAAATAGCTATGCTTTCTAGAAATGCATTTCTTTTCCTTCTTCTGGAAAGCAAAGTACATGCACTCTACATCCTGCAGGTTTAGCACCACACAATTAGCAGTCTCCCTGCTCCCCTCCTGGGCTGTGGTTGCTCCCAGAAGGAACCTCACACTGCTGTCTAAGGCCTGTTTTTCTGAACTGCTAGTCAGGTGCTGATCTCTTTGTATTGTAAGTCTGTTTCTTGATTGCTGCCTAAAACTACCCCTGTGTCTCTCCTTATTTAGCGTGGCAGCTGCAGACAGCGGATCCTGTCTCCTTCTTCTCTGCCTTAGATAGCAGAGGGATTGTCCTGAAGCACCACCCAGAAGTAAGTCTTTGCAGCCTCTTAAAAGTTTTGTTGAAATTTAAAGCACTGTTTGCCTCTGGATACAAAGCAAAAGCCCTTTTTTGGAACCTAAAAACACTCAGTTGTCTTTTATCTTTCAGGCAAGATGTAATTAAGACTTCCTCTGCAATTTACCAAGTGATTAGAATGTGTGATTTTAAAAAACAGCTAAGGGCAAGAGTACTTTTAAATAGTATTGATTCCTCCCTCCCTGAGTATTAAAGTAATATATGTTCATTACAAACAATTTGGAGAATGAACAAAAATGTGTTGAGAATTAAAATGACACAGGCAAAATGATTATTAGTTTTTTTCTCATTACACCGACACACATATATAGATATGCACACATTTATTTTTTGCAAATTTTTCCAGTTTGATAATAGTCCTTGGGGTGTTAATTTTAAACATTTTTCACCTTTTCAATCCTTTTTATTTTTAAAATTGAATATTATATATGCACAAAGAAGAGGAAGAATACTCTGGTACTCAGGAGAATTTACTATGGAAACAGATTGCCTGAATTCTAGTCTTGGGTCAGCAATTTGCTAAGCTGGAACCTAGGGCAAATTACTTGATCTTTCAGGACCTAAGTTCCTCATATACAAATGCAATAAAATCATTATAGTTCATAGAGTTATTGCTAGAATTAAATAGTACAGTGTTAGATATTATGTTTAAAATGAGTATAACATATATGCAAGGTAAAAAAGATTTTAAAAAACACATCCAAAACATAGGGAATATAATTATTTTGCTTTTTTTTTTTTTTTTTTTTTTTGAGACAGGATCTCACTATGTAGTTCAGGCTGGCCTTGAACTCACTATGTAGCCCAAGCTGACCTTAAACTCGTGGTGATCCTCCTGCCTCAGCCTCCCAAGTGTGAGTGCTGGAATTACAGGCATGTGCCACCATCCCCAGCAATTGATTTGCTTCATTTTATTCCTTGATCATACCCCTTCTGTTCCTTCAACTCTTAAATCATCATTTAATGTTATATATTTTGAACTTCACATAATTAATGTCATACCAATTTTTACTTAACATCATGTTTGTCAGATGTATTTAAGGTGAGTTTTTCAGTGCTTATAGCATTCTGTGTATATATCATTTTGTATCTCTTTTTAAAAAATTTTTGAATAATTATGAGAGATGCTACTCTGAACATTCTTGTACCTGTCTTGTTGCACTAGTCAAAGTTTGTCGTGTTGTTTTTGAAAGGCATCTAATTGCTGGGTGGTAGTGTTAGTGCATCGTCAGCTTTACTAGATAATAGTGAATTATTCTTCAGAATGATTGTGCTGGTGTACATATACTTAACTCAAGATGAAAAGTCTAGTTAATTTAATTTTTGCTTTTCTAGACAAGTATGTTGTTTCTTTTTCATTACTTTGAGATATTTTCTTGAATTTAGATGTCTATAGTTTTATTTTAGTATGTCTAGGTTTGTAGTATTTTTTATACATCTTTCTTGGTATATGTTGTGGTTCCTTCATCAACAAATTCATGTTTTTCATTAATTTTGGAAAAGTCTAAGCCATTACATCTTTGAACATTGTCTCATCCCCATCCTTTTGCCTCTCCTCAGTTCTAACTGGACTTATTTGGACTTTTTGCTATGTTTTCTATGACTTAGTGTACCTTTTATATTTTCCTTCTGCTTGCTCGTTCTATAATACAGTTGATTTGTTCATTTCTTTACCTATATTATTGGATGTTTACCTCAGATATTGAGTGTTTAAACTTTTTTGAGAAGTTAAACAATTTTACTTTCATTTTTAAAAATTTCAGTTTCTTTCTTTAAATTTGATTATCACTTTTATAGCGTTCTCTGTGATTTAAAAATTATTGTAGTAAAATATACATAAAGTAATGTTTACCATTTTAGAGCTATTTTAAGCATATGAGGTATGATAAATATATGGTGAATGTTTAAATTTTTAAAAATTATTACAAGAAAAGACATATGGCCATTAATTCCCCTTAAAATATCCCCCCTCTCTTCACTTATCCCATCCTTCTTGTCACTTTCTGAAGCAGTTCTGGAAGCCCTCTTTTGTGAGTGTCTTGAGCCACGCTATTGTAGCTGCCTCAAGGTCCTGAATTGATTCAAAATGTTTACTTTTCATTGTCATTTTGATTTTGGGAAGAGCCAGAAGTTACACAATACCAGCCAGTGAATAAGGTGGATGAAAACACATAGCATTGCTGGGGGATTTGGCTAAGTGGTTCTGCTGCCTGCCTTGCAAGTGGAAGGACCCGAGTTCGATCCTGGTACCAAAAAAACAAAATGCATTGCATTGTTTTCATGACCCTGCTTTTCCATTGTGTGGCACTCGGCAGCATTATTCACCGTGGTTTTTTTTTATGACACTGTGAACACGCCCACAAAACAGGACTTCTGGAACTGCTTTGAAAGTGGCAGGAACAATGAGATATATATGTGTAAAGTGAGGGAGAGTATTTTGAGGACTATTAATGGCAATATGTCTTACTGTAATAAATTTTTTAAAATTTAAACATTGTATATTTTGATCACACCTCACATAGTTCATTAGTGTTAAGTCCATTTGCATCGTTGTGCAGCCCATCTTCAGAACTCTTTAGCTTGCAAAGCTGAAGTGTTCTATCTGTTTAACTCCCCCTTCTTTGAGCACCTGACACAGATCGATGATCACTCCCATGAATCTGACTGCTCTGGCTACCTCTTCTCGTGGGATCAGTGTTTGCTTTTTGTGACTGGCTGTTTACGCTTGGCGTAATCAAGGCCTGTCTGTCTTGTAGCCTGTGCCAGGATTTCCTTCCTTTATAAAACTGAATAATATTCCATTGTATGTTCCCTTGTGATTTTCTTACCATATTTATTGTTTTGAACCACTTTAGAGATAATAATTTTGCATTCGTATCTGATGATTTTAACACTTGAAGTCCCTGGGCCTCTGGATCTGTTGTATTCTGTTGGTTTCCCTTCGTGGTATTGTGCTCCCCTAGGTGTTTGGAAATTTTGTTTATGAGATTGTGACAGATTGAACCTAGTATTTGGAGGTCCTGAGACCTACCCCAAGGAGGATTTTAATTTGTTCGGCAAGGAGCAGTTACCAATTTTGGGATCTGTTCAGGTGTGGCTGCGCCTCACATAGATCCTCAGGCTGTTATCAGTAGGTTCCCCGGAGGAAAGTCAGGCTTTCTTGTTTGCTGGTTTCAGCTTTTCCCCCTACCCTCCTCTTTCTTTCTCCATTCTCTTTTGTAGTACCCCTTCCTTCCATTTTCTATTCCTCCTTCTTTTATCCCTCCTTTTTTACATTTCCTCCTCCTTGTCCACCACACTGCTTTGTATGGCTGAGATTTTTCTCTTTGTCTGTGGAATTCTGAAATTTCATATTTCATCCATCCTGAAAAACCCAGGCATTCTTTCTTTCTTTCTTTTTCCCCCTATACTGGGGATTGAACTCAGGACCTTGTGCTTGGGAGGCAGGCGCAGCACCACTGAGCTAAATCCCTGACCCTCCCAGACATTTCTTCACATATTGTTACTCCCTCACTATTATCTCTTTCTGGAGTTCCTATTATGTATGGAGTTCCTTTATTTTTATTCTTTATGACTCTTAACCCTTTTTATTTTTAAATAGATTTTCCATTAAATTGTACTTGGGAGCAGCATTTTGGGGGATCTCTTTTTTGTTTATTCTTTTTTCTTGTTTTTTTTTTTGAGACAGGGTCTCTCTGTGTAGTTCAGGCTGGCCTTGACCTCACTATTCTATAGCCCAGGCTGGCATTGAACTCAAGACGATCCTCCTGCCTCAGTTGTTTTTTTATAAGCAGGTCTTTTATGTGTTGTCTAGAATCTTTAGGTGTTTAGTGGGGTTCAGGACATCTTTTCTGTTATATTGATAGGAAGGGAAATTCTGAGCATTTGAAATGCTGCCAGTTCTCAACAATATTGGAAACAGTGTTGCTCTAGTGTTCCTAAGTAAAGAGAGAGGAGAGCCTGCCCTGGGGTGGACTGAAGGGCATTAGTTGTCACATTCATCCAAGCGTTTTCTTTTCTTAATTTTGTTTGTTTGTTTGTTTTTTGAAACAGGGTCTGTGTAATTCAGGCTGGCCTTAAACTCACTATGTAGCCCAGGGTGGCCTCGGACTCCCAGTGATCCTCCTGCCTTGCCTCCTGAGTGCTGGGATTCCAGGGGTGCACCACTGCACCTGGCTCACTCCAAGGGCTTTTCCAGTGTATTGAGTCTCTAGGAAAAGGGCTAGAGACCGTAATAATATTGTGAGACTCATGGGAATGCTTTACTTTCCAAAATATTATCTCCATTTTCTTTTTTTTTTAAATTTTTATTAAATTCTTTTATTGGTACATTGTAGGTATACAACACAATTACATTTCTCATTGGGAATTGTA